CCCGGCGGGCGTCATGGCGCCCGCGGGTACCGCGTTGGGGACCACTGATCTATGTGATGGGTCCAGTGGCACATAGTAAGTCAGAGGCAGATTTGAAGACCCAAATCCTGGAGTCCTGATTCACGGTCCCCTGTAATCACCAGACAGCACGTCGCGCTGGATAGTATGTTGAAGTAACAGCAGCGGAGTTCCTGTTGGTGATAAGATTCAGCAAATGAGAAACAGGACCTTTTGGGAAGAGAGTCTCAGAAGCAAGAAAGCTCAGTCTTTTAGGTCTTGTACAGTAAACTAAAGAGCCTTCAAACGCAGAACTTCTTGGAGTCAATAAGAGATAAAATACAGTTACTTGATTGTATCTGTAAAGTTAATTTGATGTTGGTGAAACCCAATCTGGGGACCAAACTACATGTGACAGGTACAAAACAGGCAGTGTAGTCTCCTTCATATCATCCCGCCAATACTCTGACCTACCAGGGCTAATCCTTGGAAAGAACTCAGTCCTCCATAGACGTATCTCTGCTTCTCTGATCAGGTGGCCAACGGAGCAGGCACACTGATGATGTTGGTTTATTTTAAAGGAGGTAGTCTCCAACCGAGGTGGTCTCCAGAAGTAGCGATTTTTTCGTGCCACTGGATTCCGACTTCTGAGGCTGAGAGAGTGGGATCATCTCTGTGCAAAGGCTTTCCCATTAATAATATTTTTCACGCATAGGTTAAGTTGTGCAAAAAAAAGAAGTTGGTAATGGGAGCATGGAACGTCCGTATGCTTGTGGACAGTGAGGACACAGTAAGACCTCATTGGAGAAAAGCCCTAGTCACTCCATGTTCTCCGCATGGACAAAAGCAGGATCCCATGGCAACTATTCTACGGGGAGCTGGCACGTGGTAGTCGCAAACAGGGATGCCCGAAGAAGAGGTAGAAGGACAACCTGAAGACCAACTTGCAGTGGACAGGCCTTCAACCTCGACAATTTGAACTAGCTGCTGTAGACAGGACTAATTGGCGTTCCCTTACGAGGAAAGCAGTGACAAAGTTTGAGGAAGACCGCCGCCAACGCCTCGCAGCTGCACGTGAAAGCCGACAGAGCTGCGTTCTCTCCTGTCCTGACGACTGGCGTTCCATGCCCTATCTGTAATCACACGAGCGCTTCAACCTTTGGGCTCCGAAGCCACGTGTGTTTCCACAAATGAAATGCACAACATGTCTTCCTCGGCTCCCAAGAGACAACCAACAACAAGTTTAAAGGAGGATACCAGCTTCTCAAAAACTGGCCTCAACACTGGGAAATAATCCTATTTCTCATGCTAGAATAAAAAACGACTTGAAACACTTGTTTTCTTATTACGGTGCCTTCCGCATCCAGTCCTGCTGGCTCAACCTCAGAATTAATTCCTTAGCGGTTCGCTCTTTTATTTAAATCACTCCCTGCTCTCCCATATGCAACAAATTAATTTCTCCTGCTTCTGGTGAATAAGAAGGGGTCATGCATTATCTGCTCATGCCTTCAGCCGGGAAGATAAATGGAGAGCATCATGACTCATTGTCTAGAAGTTGCCTCCATTTATCCAACATGCTCACGAGGTTTCCTGAAAGGTTGCTGAATTCATCACAAGCGACTGCTACAGGCTCTCAGCACATCATTAACACTCACTCCCATCCCGAGGGCTCAAACTGGAAGCCATTAAGTTTGAAACTTGTTAACCCCAGAGACACAGATACCCGTGAGGGTGACGGAGAGGATAGAGGCTTTCGTTCGCGGCATTTCTGAGTCAGCTTTAGTTATTGTCAGGACAACCACGCTGGAAATCAAAAGCCTCTCTCCTAGACGACCGGTAGTAAGATGAGGCTCTGAAACATAAACCCATGTACCACAGGCCTGAGGCCTAAGCCACAATGGTCAAGACATTGCCAATATAAAGCAAAGAAGTTGAGAGAGGCAGGCCCTGCTCACAGAATCTGGCAAGAACAAGGCTGATATTACAGAAAACCCTAAGAGGAACTAAGCACAGGCCAGAATCACAGTCCAGAGGGGTCGTAATAAAACACCTTGTGAGGAAACATCTTGGTACCGACACCCTCCTCACAAACAACAGACCTACCAACCCAGATTCAGGACAGGGTCTCACCTGACAGCATGATGGATAGTGATCGAATCCCCACATACGAGGTCAGGGATGGCATCTAGGTAACGTCAGAGGGTGGCAGCTTGGTATGGCAGGCATGATGTGTCACTTTTGTACCGGTGCATCAAAACGTGCCCCGAGGGAGTTATCTTTGTCCAGCCTACAGAGCAGGGGAGAATACCATCTCTGACTGAGTCTATTGTCACTGGAACACATTCTTAGTCTCGCGGTAGACACCTGTTACAATAAACCTGGCTGGGCATCTTCACTCCTTATCTGACTTTGTGACTCTCTCATCCCTGGTTTACATTAGGGCGTTATTTTGAAATAACCCCCCTTCTTTTGAAATAATAAGCAGAGCATCCACACGACCAAGCCAGTCGTGCTTTCCTCGGGAATAATAATAGTTATTTCAAAAGAGCAGCCGTGTGGACATGCTGCTGCTGCTATTTCGAAATAACGACGCCCCAGAGTCAGTCGAAATCATTACTCCCTCTTCTTGGGGCTCTGAGTCGAGGGAGCGCGTCCACAACAGCGGAGCCTGCCTCGGACTCATTTTGAGGCTCCCCTGTAGTGGGGACACGCTAGTTCGATTTTGTTATTTCAGGAGTTCTTTCGAATTTAGTTATTTCAAAATAATTTCCTAGTGTAGACATGCCCTGAGAGTCTGCTGTGTCGGCTACTTCCACAACACCAGCACGACACACTGGATAAGGCAAGACACCAGTGACGTCTGACCAGCACAAGGGGAACACTAGAAGGCGCGCGCACACTTCTTTGTCAGCACAACTCAAAACCTGAAGACGCACCTTATTGTCTGAGGGACGCCCAGCCAGCCCCCAATGGCTAGGACCTCCCAGAAGCTTCATCACTGGCCCTGCATTTCCCCTCACCCCAAAGTTGGCCTCCTTTACTTGTCAAGGCACACACATTTATTCCTAAAGTAGTCTGAGGTTTCGTATGGAGAAAAATACACGACACAAAACACAGCCAGGCAACATCGCCCGCTATTGTGCCGTACTCCATTAGATTACAGACGGACTGTCTGCATGCATGCTGCTGTAGCTCTGTCTTCCTGGGGCACTGTGGCCAAAGACATCCATTTGGGCATAGTTTATTCTAGAAAACCGAAGCAGAGAAGCAGTCCACCCAGCAGGAGGAGAAGAGGGCGAAGAATCACAAGGACGGTGCAAGAAAAGTGACAAGGAGGGAGGGAAATGAAATCATACGGCCTGTCCAAATTTGGCTTGGCCCATCTGGACCAAGAGGCTTGCTGGAAACAAAAGCAATTGCATGCATACAAGCAAGAGGTGCTGAAGGGGAGAATGAGCCCGTTTCTCTTGGGCCGCTGTAACTCTCTCTCTCTCTCATAACATAAGCATCACAAAGATGCACCTGGCAGAGATGGAACGCAAAGGAAGGTGCCACATCAGACTGTCCCAGCGTAAGGTCAAAGGAATGCAACCAGCAGTCTGGCTGGACTAGGAACGCGATGCTGTTTCCCGAGAGAGGGGCCTGCCCTCCCTACAATTACACAGCTCGGCCCATTCTGCTTTCTATTCCCTTTCTGCAAACTCCAGAACTTAGCGTTGGAAACTGCTAGACGTGAACGAGCCAACGATCCACGTGCCTCAGCGTCTCTTCACGGCAGTACAGGTATTAGGGATGTAAAACCGTGTTTAACTGGTTAACCGATTAAAGGAGGGGCAGGCCTCTCAGCACGGCAGGCCCAGCTTGGCCTGAGCAGCCCCTGCCTGCAACGTACCTGGACCCACCGCGGACAGGGTCTGCAGACTGTGAACAGGGACTACAGGCAGTCCCCGGGTTACATACAAGATAGGGACTGTAGGTTTGTTCTTAAGTTGAATTTGCATGTAAGTCGGAACTGGTACATATTGTAGGGGAAACTCTAGCCAAACATTTCTCCAGAGCTCAGTTTTAATCTCCACACCTCACTTCCCTCAGTCCTTTATTCTCAAGCTGAGGTGTCTGCTGAGAAAAGCCGCTCCGCGTCTCCCTGGTCTGCTGGGGGAGGCGCTAGCTTCGCATCTCCCTGGTCTGCTGGGGGGGAAGCAGCTAGTGCAGGGTTGCCTCACCCCGTTTGTAAGTAGGGATCCGATGTAAGTCGGATTCATGTAACCCGGGGACTGCCTGTACTTGGAAAACTCCTGTCCACAGTGGGTCCCACAGAAAGCAGTGAGTTGCTCCAGCTCCCACCAGTTAACCAGAACCAGTAAGCATCACCCTAACTGGTTAACCTTTCACCTCCCTAACAGGTACGGGCCGCTCGCTGTTTCGCCCCTTTTCCCATTCAGGGAAGCAACGCCTCTGAAGTCATCCGGTCCTGGTGCTGAGACAGAGTCCTTTTCCAAAAGCCCAGCCCAGACGTCCTCCTCCATTGCAAACACTGTGCACCAAAGTGAGAGTAGCAAGGAGGAGAATCATCCATGGGAGTGAAGAAGAAATCTCTTTCCTAGCACCTGGCAGATTGTTAGCACTGGACTGCAAACTCAAATTTTATCTTCCTGCAATGTAGCGAGCAGGGCTTCCTTGGACTCAACACAGAGTGCTTGATCGACGAAACTTGACGACTGTCGATCAAGGAACAATGTAGCACTTCAAAGACTAACAAGATGGTTTATTAGGTGATGAGTTTTCATGGGCCAGACCCACTTCCTCAGATCAATTTGTGGAAGAAAATTGAGTCTGGCCCACGAAAGCTCATCACCTAATAAACCATCTTGTTAGTCTTTGAAGTGCTACATTGTTCCTTGATCGACAGTCGTCAAGTTTCCACCGTCTAGGACGAGGCCTTCTTATAAAGCAGTCAGATTGCGATGAGAAAAAGATGACACTTTAGCGGTGTCAGCAGTGGCGTCCTACTGTATTAATGCAATTGAAGTGGCGATATTTCCCTTAAGACAGCATGCACAGTATGATGTTACAGGAGAAAGGGAGCACTAAGGAAATCACAGTTTAATATTTGGAAAGCATTTAAAGAGCCATTTCTTTGATTAAGCCAATAGCGCACTGTTCAATTTAATTGGATGCATGAAGTCCCTTTTAAAAAAAAAAACTACCATATTTTAGCGAATATACCCTGCACCCGAATATACCCTGTGGTTTTTGCTATTTGAGTAAAAAAAAGTCTTGTATACCCCACGCACGAGTATAACCTGTGGGATATACAAGACTTTTCTTTCGAACTGTGCCGGGGGTATATTTGCTAATTTACGGTGCCGGGGAGGGGAGGAATTAGCCAGCCTCACTGCCCCGGTTCCTGCAGGCACTCACCCCCGATTCCTGCAGGCACTCGCTGCCCCGGACCAGCCTCCGGGTGGGGGAGCGCTCACTCCCCGGTTCCTGCGCAGGTGAGTAAAAAAAATGGTATACCCTGTGCACGAGTATAGCCCGCGGGGGAGAGGGTGCGGGGTTTGTAAAAATGAATATAACCCGCGGGTTATATTTGCTAAAATACGGTAATTCACGCTCCATTCCAAGAGCTTTTTGTCTGCCTGCAAGTCTTGAAAGCATATTGTTCAATCATTTTCAGCTGAAGTTTTACTCCTTCCCGTTAATTTAAAGCGCTTCGTTTCAGAGGGTTGAGTTATGTTTGGAACACCCAGCCTTGGCAAGCAGCAGCTTCTTGATCGCACTGAGATTAAGCAGACTAAATTTCCTGACACAAGAAAAACCTCATTACCTACTTGAAAGGAAAAGAGCTTGTTACAGGAATTGCAAGAAGGCCAGCGAGTCGGCCCTGCACCAGACTCAGATAATTATCTTCCCAAGAGACAGACAACTTGTAGGGAGGGTGGGAGTAGGAGAGAGAAAGAATCTGATTAGGACCCAATTTGCACTGTAGTGATGGGCATAATCCAAGAACCTAACCAAGACAGAATTCTGGCACATCACTTGGAACAGGTGCCTGCTCTTTAAGAGTGTTTGTTTTCTCAGGGTCCGTCCACACTGCAGTGAAACGCCCACCCTGGCCCATTCAGCTGATTCCTGCACATGGGGTTCGGCACGTGGGGCGGCTTCACTGCAGGATAGACATATGAGCTTGGGTTGGCTTTGGGACCCTGCCCCCTTGGAGGGACTTGTCTGTATCTGTTCACACTGCCCTTATGCCGCATGAGTCCTTGCAGCCGTACAAGCGCCCAAAAGCAAAGCGAGTTTAAAGGACAAGCTGCATAAAGAGAAAGCAGCCAGATCACTCTCAAACTGAAGCGAAAGAGGCAGGGAGTCCCTGCTGCCGTGCGCCACGGGCAGTCACAACCGGCCAAAAGGGGACAGTTCACTACCCTTCTCACAGGAGTCCTTCAGTGGGCAGCTCCTTGGAGCAGGCACAGCCCTCCTGCATTTGGAGGGGCTGCCGCACATGAAGCAATACTGTTAACGACAAACGAGCTGGTTTTATTTGCTGGATCATTTGCATTTTTTTCTGTGCAAGGGGATGGAACCCTTAATGCCGAACTAGTCAACAAAGAATTTTTGTTTCAAAATTAATTCTTCCTTCTCCCCTCCCAACCTGAGCTTGCAAGGGTCTGTCTACACTACAGAGACTACACCTGCATGCACACAGCCACAGCATGGAAGTCTAAATATATTACATGAACACCATTACCTTTATCAAACAAATACACAACTGCTTTTGGAACACTAGGACTGGAAGGGACCATGAGAGGTCATCAAGTCCAGTCCCCTGCCCTCATGGCAGGACCAAGCACCGTCTAGATCCGTGGTCACCAACCAGTAGATCGCGATCTACCGGTAGATCTCAGGGGCTCCAAGAGTAGCTCTTGAGCCCTCTCTGAACTACGCACCTGCGCAGTACATTTACATTAGATTTCCTCATGTAGTGTAGGCAAGGCTTCAAGGAAGGGGCGGGGCAGTAGATCTTCACCTGTTCTGAGACTTAAAAAGTGATCTTGGGTGTAAAAAGGTTGGAGACCACTGGTCTAGATCATCCCTGACACGTGTCTGTCCAACCTGCTCTTAAATATCCCCAGAGATGGAGATTCCACAACCTCCCCAGGCAATTTTTTCCAGTGTTTAACCACCCTGATCATT